TTTATACTCACCTTCAAATCACTCTTTTCGACGAATGATGGCGATTAACTGCAAAAAGAAAATGAATTCGCAGCACTACTTAGCTAAACTATAAGGCTAACAATTGTATGTTTCCTTTCTGTAACGTTGCCAAACTAGTCACAACAAGAACAACATCGACTCAAATGTCTGTACGTAAGGCTATATGTGGTCCCGGGCCCGGGCCTAAATGGGCTAAACGGGCCGGGCTAAACGGGCCTGGGCTTAGCGGTCCCGGGCTCTGGCGGTCCCGGGCTTCGCGGTCCCGGGCTTCGTGGGCTCAACGGGTAGGACCAGCCCGTGACGGGCCTAAGCCCATATGGTCCTGGGCTAAATGGGCCGGGCTCGTGGGCTTAGCGGGCCTAACGGGCTTTTTTTTATTTCCGGGCTTTTTTTTTAATTTTTTTTATTTAGGGCAATTTCTTGTAAACCATATGTGTATGTATATATATAAATTGCTCTTATGCATGGCTATATAAATATATGTGGTATATATAATATAGAAATCTAATTATTAAAGTGTTTGACGAAAATGTAAAATAACAAATCAATAGTAAAACTAAATTGGCATGCATAATAAATTAATAACAAAGTACAACATGAAGCATAAATACGTCTAATAATTTTAAAATAACACAAATTGTTGAAAAATCTTAAAGACGAATTTGCGGATAAATACCCTCAACACAATACTTTATATGCCTCCTTAAAATGCCTGTGGTACACCCTGAACGAAAATTTAAGACTCTTCCACAGTTCTTGCACTTTAATATTTGGCCTTCTTCATTTTCTTCAAGCACTTCATAGTATTGCGACACAAATAAGCGCACTCTTTCCGAACGAGGCATGATTTAACTTGAAAATTGAGATTGAGACTTGAAGTCTTGAAAATTGGAGATTGAGAGATTGAGAGAAATTTAGATTGAGAAATGAGTATTGAGTATTGAAATGAAGAAGAGGGAGGGGGGTACTTATAGTGTTAGAGAAGGTTAGTTTTGTAAATTTAAAAAAAAAACGACTATTTGTGCAATTAATATGACCGTTGGTGGTCATTGGGGGTGGGGCCCTCATTTTAAAAAATCATGTTTTGTAGTATATATAGTACTACTTCTTCATGTAAATATAATATATATAGTATACTAGTATAGTATACTATATATAGTATGTTATGTATATATATTCCCTTATATATTTTCTTGTAGTATATATAGTATGTTATGTATATATATTCCCTTATATATTTTCTTGTAGTATATATTGTATGTTATGTATATATATTCCCTTATATATTTTCTTGTAGTATATATTGTATGTTGTGTATATATATTCCCTTATATATTTTCTTGTAGTATATATTGTATGTTATGTATATATATTATAGCTTATAAATAATTGCAAGTTAAAGACAAAAAAATATTGCAAAGAGATATTCAAGGGCATGTCTTATAATTTTTATTACCAAAAATGGCATATCTTTCTTAGTCTTCTTTCCCCTAATGGAATGAGCACAACAAGGTACTAATACCACCATTAAAAGGAAAAAAAACTAAAGAAGATATGCCAAAGTACAAGTTACACCATAACCTACATTGTATCTCTAACAAATCTCATAAATCCTTCAAGGTTCGGAGGAGGTTCCGTTGGTGGTGGCGGAAAAGAAGCTTGTTCATCACCGCTTCCGGGCGAAGCAGCATCCTCCGCAAGTTCCGCTATCATTTCTTCATAAGCTTCGTCTATCTCCGGTTGTGATTCTGCAAGTCCAAAGTTTCTTCTTTCCGAGCGGATCCAATCTCTGAATAGTACTGATTTTTCCAAGCTCTCCCTCATAGACGCTCTATGATCACCTATTTGAAGTCTTGCTTGACTGAAAGCGCTCTCTGATGCAACTGTTGAAGCTTGAATAGATAAAATATCCCGAGCCATCCTTGCAAGAACCGGAAAATGTTTTTCCCTTGTCTTCCACCATTCCAAAAGATCAAAGGTGCCGTCTGGATTCTCCTTTTCAAGTCCCTGCGACAAATAAACTTGAAGCTCATTTAGATGTGAAGTCTCATCAAAATTATCACCTTGAGAACCCCTAAACTCCGTCCAAGATTTAAGTGCTTGTAGGCCCGCAGCTCTTTTAGATGATTGTGAACTAGACGAAGTAGGGGTTGGAATATTTGGCCTAGCATGATCTAACGCAAGTTGGTAAGCATTATAAATTGTTTGCGCATTTATTTTAATTGAGGCTTTTGCCTCTGCAAGTGTAGAAAATTCCTCAACTGAAAGATCTAAAGCCTTATAAATATTTGTGTACCAAAAGTGAGGACCTCCTAATTTCATTGTAGGATTTAACAATGCAGCAACACCATAAATAGGGGGGATAGGGAAAAAATATTTTTTAAACTTTTCTTTCATTGCATTTATAGCAAGTTGATAAATTTCCCCACCCTCCGAAAATTCAACAAACAAATCACATAGTGCTGCAATATAAACTAAACAATTTGAAATAGTAGGATAATATTGTCCAGAAAATGCATTTGTAGCAATTTGAAAATGTTCTAAAAAATCTATAAGAATTTTGACATTCGTCCAATCTTGATTTGTAAGGATTTCATCATCATCCTCACCACCAACACGAGCATTAAACGTTGCATTAATTGGGTTTCTATATTCATATGCAACTACTAAACTTTCGTACATATAATTCCATCTAGTTGGACAAGGTTTAGGAACCTTTCTTTCTCTAAGGCCAAATTCATCACATTTTTTAAAATACTCTCTAAGTCTACTTCTACGGTTTGAATAAAAAAGCCAATTAAGAGCCATTCTAACCTTTTCAATTTCTAAATTTAAAATTCTCATACCATCACCGACGATTAAATGGTAAATGTGACAAATACATCTCACATGGAAACAATTACTAAATGCAGGATTTAGTGTTGTTGTAAGTATGCCTATAGCACTAGTGTTACTAGAAGCATTATCCATAGAAATTGCCATTATTTTATCTCTAATGCAAAAATATCTACAAATATCTGCAACGGTGTTAGCAATAAACTTACCTGTGTGACGTGAATTAATTATTCTATACGCAATAATGCGTTTTTGCATTATCCACTCCTCGTCTATCCAATGACTTGTAACAGTTAGATAATCACAGTCATTATTACTTCTACCAATATCAGTAGTAATAGAAATCCGATTAGTTATATGAGTAAATAAATACCGCAAATATTGTTCATATTCATGTTTATATTTATAAATATCGCTCTTAACTGTTGCGCGAGGCCAACCTTTATAAGTAGGATTAAAAACTTTTCTAATATAATGCACAAAATTAGGGTTAGAAGGAAAAGTATATGGTAAGCACATAACAGTAACCATCTTTGCTAATTCTTCACGATCTTTATTAGGATCGTAATATAAAATACCACCGGTCACAGTGTTAATTCCTGGTTGAACTAGATTTGAACCTGTACTAGGGTTAACCGCAGTATCTACACTTGTCCCCTCTTGCTGCGCTTTCATTTGTAAATATTTAACTTTATCTCTAGGGTGTGTTTGTATGTGCCTAGCCAAACTACCCGTACCACTACGGTCTCCAGTATATTTATGCGCCAGCAATTTCCCACAAGTTTTACACCTAGCCTTATTTTGTTCTCTTACTTGAGTAAAAAAATTCCAAACTAATGATGTTTCTAGGCGTTTAGAAGGTTGTCTATTAAAAGTAGGGGTTTCTACAGGTGGGTCGGGCGGGGCATCAGTTGGGTTATTAACAGGACTAGTAGGTGAATCATCTAAATCCGGTTGGGTTTCATCTACATCCTCATTTTCCTCATCATTTTCTAAGATAGTTTGATTAGGATAAAGAGCATTCATAACTTCTTCATTTAATTGTTCACCTTGTGCAACATTATGGCAAAATTCACTATCGGAAAATTGAAAACAAGGGTTATCACTATCAAGAATAATAGGAGCAGCAGGACGGGTAATAGGTCTGGGTCGGGGAGCCGGGGGAAGGGTAGTAGGTTGGAGACTACTTTCACCAATTTTAGCTTTTCCCTTACCACCAAACATTTTTTTCAAAGAAAATGCCATATTAATTACAATTATGCAAACTAAACACACAAAAATATATTCTTAAAAGTTAAGAGTTGGAACGAGTTTACCGAATTGCCGAACAACTTCTTGAAAATTGAAAATCGTTGAAGACTTGAAGACTTGAATACTTCAATTCACCAACTTCACAATTTTTCACGAAATTGCAATAATAAAATAAGCAATTATAGAAGAGAAATTAGATATAGATTGAGAGAGATTGAGATAGATTGATGAATTGGTGAGTAAAAATGAAAGAATGAGGGGGTATTTATAGTTGAGAATTGGGGAAAAGTGTAATTATATAAAGTTTGGGGTTAAAATAAAGTTTGGGGGCCAAATGGCTATTTTTTAAAGTTCCAAACGGTTGAAAATTAAAGGCCAACGGCTAGATTTTAAAATCTGACCGTTGGCTATTTTTTTAAAAAAAAAAAATTTTTTTTTTTTTAAAATTAGCCGTTGGAGCCCGTTAGGACCGTTAGGCCCGGTTGAACCGGCCCAGGACCGCCTGCCGGTCCCGGGCTTAGCGGTCCCGGTCTCGTGGGCCTCGTGTACAAGACCGGCCCGTCACGGGCTTCCTACCCATTAAGGGACCGGCCCACCAGGACCGGCCCGCCGGGACCGTTTAGCCCGTTAGGACCGCGGGCCCGGTCCGGTCCCGGTCCCAGACCGGCCCACCAAACAGCCTTATCTGTACGTCGACTATAATTTCATGTCTGTAGCTATTATAGAGTAGCTTTAGATGTCAATCACTTAAAGGCAAAACTTCAATATAGGCAGAAGCGCAGAAGCTTTAAAGTGATCTCCAGAAAATGAACTAAAGCCGATCTCCAGATAATGAACTCACAAAAGGATAGTGCATATACCCCACCTACTGGACAGATTCTAGAGCATAGGCAATCTTTCAAGTTTCAAATTGAAACCATTCACCCATTCTAATCAAGATACAAGATAATTTATATATGCTAAACTTTGAACTTTGCTCAAGTGCAGATGACACACTGCTTATTTATCGACATTGTGAACAGGCAGCCAGCAAATTCTCAAACTCAGATGTTAGCTGAACTTGTGAAAGCGCTATAGCTCTACTGATGTAGATACAGACTCTTAGAAGATAAGAAGAAAAGAGTAGAGGATAAAAATTTTTGTTCCCCGATATTATACATATGACTCTAGCTAATGCTGCATTCAGAATTTCCTGTAACACCCTCCTCAGTATCACCATCTGGAAACCCTAATATATAAGCCCCTTCCCCATCATCTTCATCACTCTCAACATCATCTCTGTTGTGTCTTCTCTCAACATAAGCCACCCCTTGCCTCCTTTGCAGACGTAAAACATGCATTATTACATCTGGGGTCAGTGTAACCTGTGAATGGTCCTCTCGACCTCGCCTGTTAGCTTCCATTATCTGCTCACAGCAAGACATAGAAAGTAAAAAGAAAAATTCAATACCAGATTACATGAACCAACTGTGACTTCCGATTCTAACACATGAATAATTATCAAGAGAACTGCTAAGATATGCACCTTAAGGACATCACGAGGCAATGAAGAAACATTATTCGATGACGGGGTCCAAAGCTTTATGGTCTTTTCTATTCCACATGTTGCAAGAACAGGAATACAGGGATGGGGCTCAAGCTGATTTACTATGTGCCAATCACCAACCATCAACCTAACAAGGTTAGCGCCCTTTTTCTTCCAGATAAATATATGGCCAGTCAGATCCACTCAAGACATATTCATCATTTGGACCAAAGAAACTCACACCTTTAATGGTTCTCGAATTTCTATGCCCAGAATAAACTTGTGGCTCTTCCAGTTTCTTTGCATCTTCACCTCGCGAAGACAGGGGAGACGGACCCAATCCCATGTTCTTCTGAAACAAATATATCAATTCGTCATTGTATGAGACCAGTAACTCACTAGAGCTCGAGTAAGCCAATGCTGTAATGTGAACGTCATGTGTTTTGATCAGGTGAGGGGGGCAAAATGTGTTGACAGGCCTATCAGAATTACGCAACGCGTCCATTTCATACATTCTGACGTCATATACACGTGCATATTCGTCAGAACCACCAACTGCAAAATAATTTGGTTTTCTCGGATCTATCACAATGGCGTTCAAACTTATGCTGCTAGAAGATTGCTTATTGTTTTCCGCGAAAGATGAGCAACAGAATATCTTTGTGGCAGAATTACTTCGCAGGTCATACTGCAGAATAAATGCAAGTTACGGCAAAATAACCTGAAGAAGAGAACTGTTTACATGTAAAACAGCAACGTGACAACCTACGTGTTGAACAAAACCATCTTCACCGCAGCTATAGAATATGTAGGGGCTCCCTGGTTCCACGGCAAGCTTATGTACACGACCTTGGTGCCTACCTAGCCTTTTAGTTTCTACTTGACCATTCTCCAGCAACAGACCAAGCCTAACCTGCAGTGAGAAACCAGTGTTTGCGATGGCGGAAGTCAGAGAAGATTGAAGAATAAGCCCATAGGTTTCTTTTAGAAAAAATCTTGAGCTTTCTCAAATTACGAATTAAGCAACTCCAGCAGGACTAAACTATTATCTATCTATACAGCAAGTGGGCAACTATGTCTGGATGTATAAACATGTGGTACTTGATATTAAGGACAATAAAAGGAATATGTGTTGTATGAAAATTACTTGTCCAATCATTCAATGCTGCCATGTAATCTGGTGATCGCAGTAATTCAATTGCAATGCAAAAGAACTCCTCAATCCTTGAAGTGTTAGGCACAGATTCCTTGCGTCATTGAGAAGAAGATGGACAAACGAAGCAGAGGATGCCATACAGTAGCTGATAGTTGCACAGGTAATTCTTATAGGTAATTATAACGCAAGGATTGTTATTAGATACTTTTGTAAAGGTAATTCTTATAGGTAATTATAACGCAAGGATTGTTATTAGATACTTTTTTAAAGGTGGTGTCTAGGCTAGCTTCGCGCACCCTGACTTTTCCCACCGGATACTTGCTACCTCCCACCAACATAAGTATCGGGTAAATCTAGCCACCAAGGTTTCAGCAAATGGAAAGAAACACCTAGCATTTTTTTTTTCTCTACTGGAATTTGAACCATTCTCCCATGGTTTTCACTCACTTCTTTGACCACTAGGCCCCTTGGGTGCTTGTCTTTAATACTCTTATCCAGGTCTTGTTAATAAATGTACTGTTAATCCACATTGTATCCGCGTAATGCATAGATTCCTGTCTTATGCGAGTATTAGCATTGCGGAGTTTAATATTGCAAACCAAGCACTGCATCAGTTATGAAGACAGAGATTGCTGTGGTTATGCAGAGATTAAATTAGTAACGCAATGCTTTATTTAGAAATCATATATTACACTAGTTATGCAGAATTTTATGCTCGAATTATTTTTCCTTATGAGGCCAACCAATCGACCGCTTAGATTTGCTTTAAGGGCGTGATCTGCTCCAAGAATTTGACAGGACTTCCCCTTTTCGATATAGGCCACTAATGTTATCATCATTTGACAGTTCTTCGTGTTTCATAATGACTGGGATCATGATTAAATCACAATAGGAGGATGGTCCAGTAAGCAGAAGTCATATCTACTACAGCATATTTCAGACTTACACATGAATATTTGCTCATACACCTTGGCATTCTTTCAGATTTCACATATTAATGTGCACAAGATGTGCAAAACATCACCTGGCCATCAGCAGCGGCAGTTACTATTCTCCGATCATCGGTGAAGGGCATGAACTTGGCCTGGAATATGTTGTCCATGTGGCCTGATTGGTAAGACAGTTTTGATTTTCTTGTCGCCCAGTCCCATAGTATTACTCGTCGGTCATCGGAACCTGAGGCAAGAACATCGCCAGTGGCATTGAAGTCAATTGTGTTAACACATCCCTCGTGACCATTTAATTTCCCGTACAGATCCAGTCGCTTCACTGTAACCTGCGCCAAAGTTGAAAAAAGAATAGTTTCAGCAGTTTTGCATAATGGAGAATTCTAGAGAAAAGAATTTCAAACACCTAAAGATTTATTAGCCTCCGCAGAATACAATAGAGTGGAATGGATATTGAGCGTTCATATAAGCCGACCCAACTAATTTAGGATTTAGCGTTGATTGATTGATTGAGTGACTGATATGGAATTATCTTCATATCAAAATGTCAAAAAAAAATTACACAAAATTAAGTTCCAACCGAGACTTAAACATCGCCGAATATGAATGCCTCCTTTTTGTTACCTTCTAATAATAATATGAAAAGTTCTCACAAAAATAGAGAGATTTAACATCAGTGAACATGAAGGCCTTAGTTTTGGTTTATCTATTTATTTGTTCGTTCCATCTTATTGGATGTACCACAGATATTTCACATCAGGCTCTGCTATTAAGAGGAAATGGATACAAGGAAATCAACCGTGCATACCGGGTGATAAACTGAAAGACCATCACTCAGATGATAAAGGGCAATAAATAGTAACTGGTATTAATTGAAGGACTAAGTATTATTCGGTGAAATTGAAACAAAGAACAAAAAAAAGCAGGTGAGCTCCTATACTGAGCATGTGTTGCCAACTAGGAAAAGCAGGGTTGTACCCTGTTGGAGCCGGTCAAATTACAGTAATCGTATAAATATGTTTGTACCGTTAGTGTAGTAAATTCTTATCCAAAATACTAGTTGGTTGAATAGCTTATGATTCCTGGCACTCAATAAACTTGTAGGTATTAACCAAAGATACATATATGTATCGTTCAACTCATTTCGCAAGGTAATTACCTCTCTGTAACTCAAACATTTACATGTACGGTAGCTATTTCCTTACAACTGGAGCTTGGCCAAATCCAAAAATAAAATAAAATAATCAAGCTAACTAGCCAAAGGTGTCAGGTAGTATGGTCTTTCCTATACCTAAAAACCAGTGGAGATCATTAACAATTCACTAGAAGACAGTTCTTGCAAAAGTCTAACAAGTTAATCGAAATTCTTACTTTTACCCTCCAAAATGAACGATAACAAATGCAATTCAAAAGGATAAAAACATTGAATTTAAATTCCGTAACAACAATCTACTATTGTCTAGCGACCAATGAAGTGGGATGAAACCATAAGAGACTAGGGTTCAAATTCCAGCAGAAACAAAACACACTGCGCGACTTCTTCCTATCTGTCTAAGCCTTAGTTGGCAGAGTTATCCTACACTTATGTTATTGGAGGTAGCACGTGCCAAGTGAATTAGTCGAGGTATGCACAAACTAATCCGAACACCACTGCCTACAAGCACAAGTACTAATCACAAGCAAGAAAAGGGTAATTTTAACTGGGGAGAATTTCTATAGTATCAAACATTTCATCAAGCAAACGGAGCTCAACTCACTAATTTTAATCCATAAAAACAAATAATCAAAGATATAAATAACTGAGACCTCAGAAGCAGAGATTCGGCGAGCGAAGTATCTGGGCTGAGAAATCCCAATTTCTCTCTTATAGAACTCCAAGAAGTCATCCCCGAAAGCCTTGTACAGCCTCTCCATGTTTCCTCACAAGTGCTTAACTTCTCTGTGTCCTTTTTGCGTGTCTTCTGTGAGAGAAAAATAAGAAACTGAGTTGAAACTTAAAATATTGGATTTGAGTCGACTACTCTGGCAATTATGTACCCATTCGAGTGTGAATTAAAGCAAGTTTGGATTGAAATAAAACAATAAAAGTAAAGAAGAATATTGCAAAGAAAAGAGAGATAATTCTATTGATTTGAGATAAATTATAATGGGATAAAACACCTTAGCCACAAAGTAACAAACTCTCTAAAAGATACATATTCATTCTAAGTACAATTCTATTCATAACACTCCCCTTAAATGTCTATTCAATAGGTAATGTGCCTCGTTAAAACCTTAACTAAAATAAAATCCTCTAGAAAAAGTTCTAGTGAAGGAAAAAGAGTACACGTTTTTAGAAATACGCTTTTTAGTTGCCTCGTTAAAATATTTGCAAGGGAAACCTAGTGGGACAAAACCTTGTAAGAGAAAAAGAGTACAATGCGTATTAACTCCCCCTAATGAGAGCATCAATTTACATCCTTAAGCCTTCACATCCCAATCTTGTACACTAGCTTCTTGAAGGTTGTCGTCGGTAGAGATTTGGTGAACAAATCAGCCATATTGTCACTTGAACGAATCTGTTGCACATTGATATCACCATTCTTTTGAAGATCATGTGTGAAAAATAACTTTGGTGAAATGTGTTTTGTCCTATCTCCTTTTATGAATCCTCCATTCAATTAGGCTATGCATGCTGCATTGTCTTCAGATAAAATCGTAGGTAGTTTGTGACACTTCAAACCACATTTTTCTCGAATAAGATGTATTATAGACCTCAACCACACACATTCTCGACTTGATTCATGAATAGCAATTATCTCAGCATGATTAGATAAAGTAGCCACGATTGATTGCTTAGTCGATCGCCAAGATATGGCAGTGCCTCCACATGTAAACACATATCCTGTTTGAGATCGAGCCTTGTGTGGGTCAGATAAATACCCAGCATCGGCATAACCAACAAGATCGTGACTACAATCGTTGCCATAAAATAAGCCCATATTGGTTGTCCCGTTTAGGTACCACAATACGTGTTTGATTCCATTCCAATATCTCCTTGTAGGAGCAGAGCTATATCTTGCGAAGACATTAACTGAAAAAGTTATGTCAGGCCTTGTAGTATTAGCAAGATACATTATGTCGCCAATTACACTAAGATATGGTACTTCAGGATCAGAAGTTCTTCATTCTTTTCTTGAGGTCGGAACGGGTCCTTATTCACATCAAGTGATCAAACAACCATCGGAGTACTTAATGGATGTGCTTCATTCATGTAAAACCGTTTCGATACCTTTTCTTTGTAGGTAGATTGATGAACAAAAATCCCGTTTGCCAAATGTTTAATTTGTAAACCGAGACATAATCTTGTCTTTCCGAGATCGTTCATCTCGAATTCCTTCTTTAATAATCAATTGCTTTTTGGAGTTCTGTAGGAATTCCAATAAGGTTTATGTCATCAACATATACGGCAAGTACAACAAATTCCGACGTTATTTTTTTTATAAAAACACATGGACAAATAGCATCATTTATATAACATTCCTTTAATAAATACTCACTAAGGCGGTTATACCAAATTCTTTCTAATTACTTTAGACCATACAAAGATCTTTGCAATTTGATCCAAAATATTTTTCGTGACTTTGAATTATGTGCGTCAGGCATTTTAAATCCTTCAGGAATTTTCATGTACAATTCTTTATCAAGTGTGCCATAAAGGTAGGCTGTAACCACATCCATTAAATGCATGTCAATCTTTTCATGGACAGCAAAACTAATGAGATAACGAAATATTATTGCATCCATAACGGGTGAATATGTCTCTTCATAATCGACACCGGACCTTTGTGAAAATTCTCATGCAACAAGGCGTGCCTTATATCTTTGTACCTCATTTTTCTCATTCCTCTTACATACAAAGACCCATTTATAGCCAACAGGATTAACACCATTAGGTGTTTGGACTACAGGACCAAAAACTTCATGTTTCGCAAGTGAATCCAACTCTGATTGGATTGCTTCTTGCCATTTCGGCCAATCACGTCTTTGTCGACATTCTCCAACGGATTGAGGTTCAAGATCCTCACTATCTTGCATAATGTTATATGTAACATTATATGCAAAGACATAATCTACCAATATATCCGATCGATTTATATTCGTCTCAATATCGATTGGATTTGTTGATAGTTCCTTATTTTCTTGAGTCTCAGGCTCAATGATTTCCTCATGAATCTCAGGATTGGTTAAATCATGGATTTCTTTATGAGACTCATTTGTAGTGTCATCTTAATCATTTATTTTTGTTTTTCTAGGATTTCGATCCTTAGAACCTAATGGTCTGTCATGCTTTAGGCGTGCTTTTGACACATTAGCTATTACACTAGAATATTGTCCAACAGGGACATCAATGCGGATTAGAACATTCTCTGTAGGGATATATGATTTTGTTATCCTTTTCAGATCCGTAAATTCATCTAGCATTTAATTTATTATTTTCTGCAAATAGATAATCTTTTGTACCTCTTTTTCACAAATAGAGGCACGTGGATCAAGATGATATAATGATAGATTTTTTACAGAATTTCCTGTTTGGTTTCACAAATTTCTCCCCCTAATTTTGAAAAAAGTGTCTCATCGAATCGATAATATGCAAATCGAGCTGCAACGACCCGACCGGTCATTTTGAGAAATTGCACATCTCTTAGTAGTTTTCGGGCATGAGTAGCTCCGTATGATGTATTATGACTTATGTGAATCATCGGTTTGGGTTTTCAGGTTATTCGGGATTGATTTGGAAAAATATTTCTTAGCTAGAAGCTTTAAATTTGAAAGGTTTGACCAAGTTTTGACTTTTTAGTATTTGACCTCGGATTGGATTTCTGATGGTTCCGTTTAGGGGTGTTCAAAATCGAACCGAAACCGAAAACCGAACCGAAATCGAAGCTTAATGGTTTATTGGTATCGGGTTAACGGTTTAACGGACGGGGAACGGATTGAAATTTTTTCATTAACGGCTTATCGGTTTGGGGGCGGATTATTTAATTTTCTTAATAGATAATCCGTTAACCCATTAAGAATATATATATATATATATATATATATATATAATATCCAATCCAAATGCCACCGGTGATATCATATCTCTATGTTCCGCATCCAATCCAAACGCCACCAGTATCATAATCGGCCAAGCGTTACCATTGACCTTAAGTTTCGCTTAACTTACCATCATCATACACGTGTCATCGCTAATCTGGTGCCTTTTCATTCACAAGCAGATAATACATAATAGTAGCAGGAAGAAAGGCAACATCACCTCCAAATTAAAAATGAAATCGGTTATTAACAAGGTAATTTTACCTTCCGGTAGAAAATAAATGTTGTCGCTAAAGCGGACCATAAACGGATAGTAATAATCAACAACCTTGGTTCAAATTTCTCAACATGTAATGAGTTCAAATTCATCATGTGAAAGAGGAAAGAGACTCATTTAGTTGACCATCATGCTAACTTGGAACTACTAGAAGAGAGCGTATGTCTTTACACAATTCAACTTCTTGTGGAACGTGTAAACCTTGCCACTCAGTATATTTGTTGCGATAGTACGCCCTCTGTAATGCACGCAATATAGATTGAATTAGGCCAATAAACTTCCCGATAAGAGCTAAACCGATACTAATCCGCCCGATATCTTATCGGGTGGCTAGCGGATTAATACATTTAAAAGCCGATAACCGATAAGCCAAACCGTTAAGAGTAAATAACCGCCCAATTCACCCAATAAGCAGCCCTAGTTCCGTTAGCTCCGTCGGGTGATTTTGGACTTAGGAGCGCGTCCGGATCGTGATTTGGAGGTCCGTGGTAGAATTTGGCTTAAAATGGCGAAAGTTGGAATTTTGAAAAGTTTGACTGGGAGTAGACTATTTGATATCGGGGTCGGATTCCGATTTCAGAAGTTGGAGCAGGTCCGTAATGTCAAATTTGACTTGTGTGCAAAATTTGGGGTCAATCGGACGTGATTTGGTAGGTTTCGGCATCAGTTGTTGAAGTTTCAAAGTTCAATTATTCTGAATTGAGGTGTGATTTGTTGTTTTGATGTTGTTTTGGGTGATTCGAAGGTTCGACTAAGTTCGAATGGAGTTATATGACTTATTGGCATGTTTGGTTCAGGTTCCGGGGGCCTCTGGTGTGTTTCGGGTGGTTATCGGATCAAGTTTGAAGTTTGGAACATTGCTGAAGTTGGTCTGTTGCTGGTGTAATCGCACCTGCGAGGCTATTGCCGCAAGTGCAACGCCACTGGTGCAGTGGGATGGACGCAGGTGCGGATGTGTGTTGGATTAGGGAAGACTGCAGGTGTGAGGTCTTTTCCGCACCTGCGAGGTCGCAGAAGCGGATAGGGAGCGCAGGTGCGGAGATGCAGATTTAAGTGGTTTCCGCAGAAGCCGGGTTTTGTCGTAGAAGCGACGCCGCAGAAGCGGCTAATGTGTCCGCAGATGCGGAAGTGTTGGACAGAATGTTAAATACAAGGGTTCGCGATTTTGGCTTTATTTTAACATTTCCAAGCTTAGATTGAGGCAATTTTTGGAGCTATTCTCACCATATGAATTGGGGTAAGTATTCTCTACTCGGTCTTGGTTATATTTCATGAATCTATCTTCGATTTTAGCTTTTGGTTGATGAATTGAAAGAGGAAATTGGGGGTTTTGGCCTAAAGTTTCATGATATGAATTTTTAAGTTTTGAACACTGATTTGGAGTCGGATTTGAGTGAAACTAGTATGGTTAGACTCGTAAGTGAATGGGTTGTCGGATTTTGTGAGTGTTGTCGAGTTTCAAGGCGTGGGCCCGGGTGTGATTTTTGGCCGGATTTGGGATTTGATGTAGAATTCGATCTTTATCAATTATAATTGCTTCCTTGGGCTTTATCTGATGTATTTGAGTTGCTTTTGGCTAGTTTTGAGTCGTTCGGAGGTCGCTACACGCGTGATGGCATTCTTGGAGCATCGCTTGGCTTGCTCGGTGTCAGAATCGGCTTGTTTAAGATAAGTAACTCTTCTAAACTTAGTGCTGAGGGTATGAAACCCCGAATCGATGTGTTACGTGAT